GAGCCCATCTCTCAGATCTTGAAGCTTGGGCTACTGGAAATTGTGACAGGTATTGTCTACTCTTTACAGACAGTTGTATAGATTGACTATGCAATCAATTCATCAATCATGGAAATTGGTCATCTAAACAAAGAATTCTTATCTTTCTGTGTCACTTAAATCCTCCATACATGAGGGCAAGTGTTAAAATAGAGTAGGCAGAGTGAACACACCTCCACAACACATGCACCACCCTCAGATGGATATATTTAGGTCACTGGTCAATGGCTAGAACAGATTAACAGTAGAAGTCCAACACTGTGTGTGGGGGTGTCAGTGAAGGAGAGAGAGGGATCGAGAATGTGACCATGCATTTATCAGCCATGCTGTTGCCTACAATGTGTGACAGTTAGAGAGAACCAGGGCCGGGGGATGTCCCACTGGCATTAAGAAAGCTCTCTCCGTGGGATGCGTCAGCCAATGAGCAGCGGAGCCTCGGGGGGCTGCCTTGTTAATTAAAGCCGGAGTTGTTTGTCAGTGCCGGCATATGATGCACAGCACTATCACCATCGAGGGAAGGAGAAAACACAAAGCATGATTGCTGCAACCCCTGCAACAAATCTGCTGCCTCACCATGGAAGCGAGACGTCTTACTACAGCAACGACTGCTGTGGCTTTGAGTCAGTATTGGTTTGCTCGGTGCTACTCAACTGGAAATCGGATACTGTATTTGCAGAGCAGAAGCACACAACTGACCATGGGGAAAAGAAGGGATTTGCAAACCACCAAAGATTTTTGTCTAACCTGTTCATGTCAAGAGAACATTAACTCAAGCAGGAGGTGTCTGAGTGCACACAATGAGCAACCCAATGAATGTTTTGGGTCTTCAGCTGGAGGTGCCATAGAAAATAAAATTGACATCTTTCTTAGAGGTAGCTTAGTTTGAGGGCTTCATCGGAACACTGATGAAATACAAAGACACAAACTTGTAACTGGCTTACATCGACACACCAGCTGGTGAATCGCAAGAGGAGAAGGTAAAGCAGCAGCTCACAGCTTCCATAACAACCATTATCAAGCTCCCCTTGGGCAAGGGACTTCATTTTCTCATATTCCTTTGGTGGAGCTTTTCAGTGGCCATCAACCGATGATGGTGGCAGTGAAAAACTGTTGAAAACAGGGCCATGCAGAAAAAAGCAAATTTTGAGACAAACTCTATAGATCTCATCAAGAGCTTCAATATATGAAGCCCAATTTGCCTGACTGACTGACCTTTTAGCTTCCTGCCCTTAACACTGTTGTAATATCACTAAATCAACTAAATCCCCATTACAGTGAATTTAGAAACTCATGCTGCGGAACGAAAAACCCAAACAAATCCAAATTCATGTCAAAGCAGATGAACAGAAGGATTGTGGATTAACAAGAGGGGATTTGCCTCTCCGACGTCACTCACAGAGCAAATGGAGCAAATCAAACATCTTATTAATACTGTGACAGATGGATAATTGTGTCATTTTAATATCTGCTCCCTTGTTCAATGCCCACGGGGAGACTTCTGCAGTGGGTAATTGTTTTGTGACACTGCTGTCAGGTGAAAACCCTCTGTCTCCAGGAAATCGACCTTTCAGCAGCTGGGAGAGCTGCCAAATGCCAATCATTTGAATATTATATCTAAATGTGCTATAGTTAGTTGTAAAGTAGCACCTCTAAGAAACCAGTATGACTTTAAACGTTCTCTCAACTGAAGTGATGATTTAATCCTCCACTTTCCTCCTTCAACAGCCCACAATCGCAGAAGTGCTTGAATCTAGCAAAAATATCCCAGGCATTTTTGGGATCACAATAAGGTGCCCGTGACGAAGCAGGACGGCTGGTGTTTGTACAGTCGATTTGCACAGGTAAGTAAGCGGCTTTCCTGTGAGAAACCAGGGGATTCAAAGCGAATAAACACGCCGTAATCAAATGTGGCCGAGGCTGCAAATTGCTTTCGGCTGTAATGACACAGGTTACGGGGAGCAGGCTCGACCAACGTACAGCGTAAGCCCTCATCAGGGGAGCTTGATCCTATCAGCGCAGAGCTGGAATATCAACAACACCAAGCAACCGAGTGTGTTTAGAGTCAAAGTGCTGTGGGAGAAACCCATAACCCTCAGGCTCTTATGAACAGACTGTAGCAGCTGTGCACAAGTTTTTACAGACTAAAACAGGACAATCAAACGGCAGTGGCAGCAACCCAAAGGTGACATGGATTTTATGAAATCTAATCATCCTGATGTCCTGTAGAGAAAAGCAAAAGTCTTGGATTAGAGATGTAACAACATAGAGAAAAATATTGGTTTGTTGGCCACGTGGACTCATTGAACTAAGGGAGGATGGGACATTGCATCGACGTTGGTAGAATGCTAATGAGGGCCGAGAACCTCACACCATAACACGACCGTGCTGGCGATCAGTCACTTCAGAGGGCGAGAGGACCACACACTCCCTCCGACAAGGGTGTGTGAGCTTATCAGAGCGTGATGCAATAGGTCAGAGCTATTCCCTGGCAAATGCTGCTGCGTCCACCTCATAATTGATGAGCAATTAGCACAGGTAGCATAGGTCACCAGTTCCACTCGAGCATACAGTAAGCAGTGAAAGCATGAGCCATGACCGAGGAGGCATTCAAAGCCCGGAGTTTTCTCCTCTTATCAACAGAAATCATGTGTGATTATTGTTTTCATTTACAGCAGACAAGTATCTGAGATTAGAGGAAAGTCAACATGTTGGTTTCAGTCAGCACATGTTGAGAAATCAAGAGGGAAAGCTCAAAACAAGCCCTAACCGTGCACAGCCCTTCATGTATTTGTACCAGATCCACCAACATCATTTAATAAGCACAGTCCATTTGCATGCAAATCAGACCAATTACCAAGTAGCTGGTATGTGAGTATGATTTCTCATAGAGGCGCATCATGCCTCATTTGCTTAGCCTTGAAACATAAGCCTCTATGTAGAGCACACAGTTTTCTCTGTGTTCAATCAACATGGATTTAGCACTTGAGTAAGAAAACTATTACTGCTGGGGCATGTGTAAAAAAAGAATTATAAGGATAATTGTTTGACTTAATTTCCCTCTCAGACACAAAGAGGCATCATTTTTATTAAGATAGAGCATCTGAAGAAAAACATTTTCTAGAAACCAACCTGCGAAACAGCAACTAACAAGACGACAACAGTAGCGTGAAACAAAAATTACCTCTAACTGCATCAACCTTCCTCGCAGAGAGGAAATAGTGGGGCAGGACACTGTGTTGACAGCAGTGGAGACACCAGCAAGCTGGGAGAAGATGCCAGCATAAGAAGCACTTTGCTGCTATGACATCTTCAAAGTCTTTCACAGTCGGCAGCTGTCAGAAGTGGCAGCCAAGCAGCACAAAGGGCAGAAATACTCACACACTCAACATCACAGCATGCTGCACTCTTGCAAATCGCCAGGACAGGGCAGACGCACACATTTTATGCACATTTGATAACACGTAAAAAGTTTATCTCGGGGAGGCACTGCTGTAGCCATGTGGTAGCAACTGGGGACATTGTCCAGCTTTATGAAGATATGGTTTCATTGTAGGAACCATGAGAGCTGTAATAGTTTTAATCCACTTTAGCTACATAGTTAGTGTTTAGTTTCTTGAGATAATAATAGGATTACACTAGTTCTTAATGTTAAGTGTTCAGGCACACATCAAACTGACACCTCACCCCCTTCTCCTCCTCTATCTGCTCTCACACCCACTCTAAGCACCATGAAGGGCCGAGCTAAGTAGAATAGGAATATAATTTACAACCAATGACCCGAACAGGTTAAACCTGTTAACAGATGGGAGGTGGCAAATTGATGATCTTCCATTCTGTGTATGAGGGTGGACATTATATTATATACCACATATCTGCATCCAACCATTATACCCACTAAGCACTGTGTAGGAGGCAAGAGTCAATGATAAGTGATTAATACCGCTGCTAAGCCTACATGGGAGGTTGACATTGAAGTGAGGCGGCCTGTGGCATAATACATGGGCCTTCAAATGAGGTCACCATCTTAAAATACATTCGGACCTCAGCAGATATATAATACATGAGTTATATTTATTAAAACTAGTGATTTGTAATCAAACAACAGCAGAGCATCCACTCTCAGAATGAGCCATTGAATAAAAACAATAAAAAACTGAGCTGCCTGTCTTGTCAGTGTAACATCCCACAGGGAGCGATGTTTATTTGTCATTTGGAACGCGACAAGATAAGAGATAAGAGGATGTCACAAGAGAACGCTCTTTTCTTCCTGAAATCATTCCTCTGACATCAGACGTACCACACGGTAATGAGAGAAACAGTTATCGGCACACGGTGTATATCAGCCCGCGACACATGAATGGTGCAAAAGGCTGTTTATCAAAGAGCAAAATGTTAAGAGCTCTGTGACAACTCGTAGTGAATCAGAACAGAAACAATACAAGGCAGGGCTGTTCCTGACAGAGCCACACCAGTGTATCCTCCTCAGCAAATCAATGTGCTGCCAATGATTAACATCCTATTCACAATGCCTTCAAACTTGTGCTGTTCAGAGTTGGGTGCAGCAATGGCTGTCAAACACTTTCATGTGGAGGACTTGGCTGACCTGGAGCCCCAGTAAGGGGACATGTTGACCTGCAGCAGCTGTCAGTAGCTTCATATGATGAGAAGCAGATTATGGATTGATCTAGGACACCTTCAGGTGGTGGGAGGGGGGGGGGGGTGAACCTCTGGGAATCTACACCTTCACATGATGAAGAGTCAACACCATCCTTATCAAGACTGTAATTGGCGTCATCTCAAGTGAATTAGAGACAAATTAGACTAGTCCTCATGCTGTTGAAGGGAGGGGGCGTTCAAGGACCCCCCAGCTTTGACAGCTACTCCACTGATGAGGAATGCAACGCGTGCACGCGCTCACACACACACTCACACACTCACACACAGGTAATGATCCGCCTTACCTCCAGACGATCCAGACTGATGAAGCTGGCTATAGCAAATCCATCAATGATATCCTCCTCCTGCGAGCTGGACTCCCGTCTCTTCCGCCGGGGGGGACGCGGGGCTCTGGCGGCGGCTGCGGGGCGCGGCGCCTTTTTACCGGGCAGGGAGGCGGCGTCCCTCCCCGGGCTGCGTCCCTCCCTGTCGGAGCAGGAGGAGTTGGGGTCGGGGCTGCGGGCGTCCCTGCTCCCTGCCTCCCGCAACCTCCGCACCCTCTCCCGCTTCTTGGAGCGACATCTCCGACCCTGCTTCAGTTTGCCGTCCATGTCGCTGGAGGGTAGCTCGCGGTGTCAAAAAGCAGAAAATCTAAATGTAACTCCACAGACAGTCGGTGCTCGCTCCAAACGCCCCGCTGCGCCGTGTAATAACAAATAACACACACCGGACTGACAATCACAGGCTGCGCTGTAACGTGAACGCAGCGCTGCGTGTGTGTGTGTGTGTAAATAACAAGGCAAATAGAGCCTTATAGCACTCAATGACCTTGACTATAAACCTCCCCGATCTCCATTACAACAAGCAAATGTTCAAGTATCCCACAGAGGCGAGACACACGGAGCAAAGCGACGCGGATCCACGCGTTATTCTGTCACGAATCTGCGCCGTGTCGACGCGGAATCCGCTAAAGCAGGTGCAAAACGGCAAAACGGTGAAAATCCAAGCATTACACTCGCTTAGTAACTTTTGTTGCATCGGCACAGGAACAGGCTGCGTTAAAGCCTCAGCTCGCTGCATAGCGCAGACAGCGCAGAGGAACCATGTCGCTGCCCGTTGTTGTTTTCCACCAGCCCATGATCCAAGGCTGTCAAACACACGGAGACTATCCGTCCGGAACAAACCCGCCTGGCGAACAAGCACGGCTCGATCGTGGCCGTCGGATGAGTGAATAATAATAATAATCCAGTATCCCCGTTGAGTTTTTTAAGCCATACTCCTCTCTGCGCTTCAGGGGCAAAGAGGATCCCAAGTCTGAGAGCTACTTACGCACAATATTTTCCTAAATGATCCGAAGCGTCCGAGTGAGACAGCCATCCGGTGTGTAATCAAACTCCATGAGGCGATGAAGCGGTCTATTCCAGCTCAGATCATGTGGAGTTTTCCCTGTAAATCCACTCCGGTCCGTCCCCTGGCTGCTCAGTTGCTCAGCGGCTCGTGGTATTTTCTATTCGCATAATAAGGCTTTGATAAGTGTCCTTAAAGCGACAGGAGTGATTAAAATCTCCTCTCCCCCCCTCTCTCATTCCCTTCTTCCGAAATTAAGAGACACAGTCAAGCTTCAGAGAACCCACAGAACTGACGTATTTCCGCCACCTCTGGCCTACAATTTACCATAGGAAGGAAGCTGGTTTTTTTAATCAGTCTGTCTGGGGCACACTTTGTCACATCAGGTACTATTTGAGTCTGTCTGTCTGCCAGAGCTGATGCCACATCATGCCTTTCTCACTGTCACTACACACACACTCACACAAGTCCAGACGTCTTCCTGAATTTCTCCAAGGGGACTGTCTGTGAGTAGGCACATGTCCAACTCAGACATTTTGCAGAACTTTTAACTGGTAAAATCTATAAAAAATGTCAGAGTGTGAATTCAGCATGGCAATTTACCAAAAATTCAAAGTGAGCAAGTGGCTTTCCTGATTAGGTTTGTATAACGCAACTTACATTATATAAAATCATATATGAATACAATTATATAGGTGAGAAAAAGGTGCCACACATAAGACGAAAATGTAAACTTGGAGGTTCTAAGAAGAACACAATGATCCTCACAGTCTATAGCAGTACAAGCGTACAACAGCTAGAAGACCTCTACTTCTGGGGGGGTCCCTTTAGGAATTCATGGGAGTCCTCTGCAAAGTAAACCACAGCTCAATTTACCAATTTCTATTAGCTGAAATTAGGGCAATGGTCTTATATAATTACTGTATTGTGTAACAATTATTTCCATTATAGGTTTCACTGGCCCGACTGTGACTAGAATTCCACCTACTCTGATGTGGACCCTTACACAACCCTTTATGAATGTATAAAAGTGTTGTCAATGAGGCTGTTAAGCTTGTGTGGTGTGAAATCATATTGATCCATTGAGTGTTGAGAGTTTATTCGATACATAAAAAGGTGTGGAAATGATAAAACTTCCTCTTCATTGGACAAATTCACAGTAACATTATCCCATATTTCAGGGTATGTATATAACATATACATGATGAAATGAGCAACAGAAGTGAGGGAGAATTAATAACTGTTTGCATAGTGCTTTGTTTAACTAGGAACTTACCATCTTGCTCATAGTTTGAATAAAAGAAGCTGCTTCCTTTCACTGTCTGTCAAGTTTAATTCTGCTAAGATTATTTCTAACTTTACCAGAGAATATACAGTATTCTGTCGCACTGCATGAGACTTAATGGGTATATCAGACTGTAGCAGAACCACCCATGTTTCACAGCCTACACCCTGAGAAGGTATTTTATATTATGAAAATACAATTGCGAGGAAAGATGACAAAGTATAAAAGTAATGACGTGTATTCACTCTCTATGAGGCAAATACAACCAAACTGAGTCAGCAGCTTATCCTACTGCATAATCCAATAAGAATGACGCATATGAAGTGCATCATCACTATTTGTAGTTCTTCTTAGTAAAAGTGAGAAGAAGCACCAATGATGAACAGTTAATATCAGAGGATTACTAGGTAATGATCTCATATGAAGCCGTGCGCAGTGGAGGAGAAATTACAATATTCAGCCAGTGTGAAATGTTTCATATAGGAATTATCTTGTTGATGGCTTGATCTTCACAGCACAGGAAGCAGTGAAAGCAAAGCAGCGAGAGCCAAACTGAAATATTCAGGTAGTCAGCGCCGTGGTTCAGGTGTGGGGATTTTTCTTTATGTTGAGAATCATCACTGAAACTGCAGAGCAACACATCAAAATGCAAAATGAAAGTGCTTTTATGCAAATATAGTGTGCGGCGGGGTAAATTATCCAGAGCACTGTAGGTGATTTAACCAGAGACTGCACGGAGTAAGTGAGCATGATGAAGTTTTTATGGTACAGTGCTGCAACAGGTTACACTGCAGTGTAGTTTATAAGCAAATATCAAAATGTTACATTAGCTGTTGTTAAAGGCTTAATGCTAAGCCTGTTAAATGCTTTTTGGACTTTTAAATCAAAGGAACCAATCTAAAATAATCTGCACACTTCAATGTGTTTTAGCTGTGAACTAAATAATATCACTCTACATCACAGCACATTTCTATCACAAACGTATGTGGGCTGTTACTGGAGTCCTGGAAAACCTAGATAACTTATCTTTAGCAAGGTAATTGGTATGCTGTGTGTGTGTGTGTGTGTGTGTGTGTGTGTGTATGTACATGGGGGTGTATAGGTAGGTATGTCTTAGCCCCCCCAGCACTGCATTCTGAAGGCATTTTTGTTTTTTTTTAATTTCCAGGGAGAGACTTTTCACATAAAACTAATTGGTGAAGCTACACTTTAAAGATCAGGTGTATTTTGTCTGTATATTTCTTTGGAGAACAATAACCAGGTGATCAGTGTATCAATCTTGAGTGAATGGACCTTCAGGGAGCTTGAGACATTATCGTTATCATGTTCCTTTAACCTCTGTAACCACTATGATTAAACCCCTCTCTGTTTGAGCAGCTTTGCAAGAACTAATTCAGTAAGGAGATTAAAAAAGGGGGAACAGGTATGGTGAGAGGGCCGTGGAGGAGAGGGAAGAGATTACCTCTGTTTCTTCCATGCTTCTATTTGCTGTGAGGTTAATCCATAGCTACAGTCTCTGAGCTCCCACATCGCAGTCATTCAAACACTAGTCTTTTTGAAATGCTTAGCCCCGGCTGCGCTGTGAAGCGAAGGGGAGGGAGTCAGTCATGCTTTTATGATGTTTAAGCAGCACAATTGTTTTTCTTTGCCTCTGCCACCAAGATAAGGATTCATTTGAAGTCGCTGGGGTCAAGGTGCCTCTTGCCTAAAGGGTTGTTTTCCGTTGAGATGGTTGTGAGTGTTCTGTGTGGTGCAGACATGGGACTGAGAGGTCAGGGATCTGAAGAAAACAATACAAAAGGATCTGTCCTCAAGTACACACCATATCCTTTAAGAATATAGCCCCACAGAAATCAATAAGCCTTGATTTCACAGTACAACACTAGGCAGCTGTAAGACACAAATCCCTACACTGCTGTAAAGAAAATGAATTCTGTTGGGCTCACAACGTGCTGTAATTTCTGCACAGTAAGTACATTAAGTACACAGTCATCCATTGTGGAAGCCATCTCTGTTTTTCAAGGTATGTTAATGGTGTAATGGGTGGATTTTATTTATCTGGATGGGCGTGCAAATGTTTGCAACTCAGATATCGCCTACATTTTATGAATGTTCTGGTCTGGTATTCTACAACATCTGTCCATGTATGTCAGGGTGGAATGGTAAAGATACTGTATGACAGTTGATATCTGGTTTGAGGTATGCAACACTGACTGAACTGATTGAACAAAACTGTTGTGGTTAGAGTCAATAAATAGGCAAACATGTTATATCAAACATGTCAGATACAGAGCATGAGATGCAGAATTGTCCAATACATATCGGAGATTCTACAAAACTCAGTTAGAGTCTATGTAGAACAATGTACATTATATAATCATGTCTTTAATCATGACTCAAACTGCTTAAACTACTACTACTTTGTGTTTACTGGTTTGTTTGGTTTACTTTGACTTGGGTCTCAACACAGAAAAGAAGTTAGCTTAACTTGGTTTGTTGAGCCCAATTTAAAAATCGACTTGGTCAGGGAAACAAGCAATTGGATTAATATAGCCCCCTAATTTGGTTTACAGGACATTGGTCACCATGATAACAATAATAATCTATTCTGGATATCTATTAAATCCACATTTTTTAGCTACACACTAGCTCTGTCAGTGTTGGTCAATAGGTCATTGTACCAGTTTAGAATAAATTGAAATAGTTCATCAGTTATTTGATGGATTGCCACTGAATGAAGTACATACATTCATTATCACCAGCAGATGAACGCTATGGACTTTGGTGGTCCTCTATCTTTTCTTGTAGCACCATCAGCAGGTTATCATTAGTAAAATGTCTTGACAATTTTTGGAAGGGCTGCTGTGAAATTTTGTACAAATATTCAGATGGCACAGGTTAGACTCTGATGTTCCCTGTGGCGCCACCAACAGCTTAAAGTTTCCACTCCATCTGTGAGATATCTCAACATCTGAGTGACAGAAATGTTTGTTTAGACACGGTTAACACATGACTACTAATTGTTGAACCTTGACCATTTCTCTTGCACCCCTATGACGTTGATATTTGATGTGAAGTGAAATGTCCAAACTATTGGATGGATTGTCATTAAAGACTGTGTTGTAATCACTTTTTCATTCAGCATCACCACAGCTCAAATGTTTAAATTTACCCAGTTTTAACTAAATACCAACAGTAATGGCATTCCAATCAGCCCCAAGTGCATGTTATTATTAGTGCTAATTAGCATATGTTAGCATGCTGACACGCTGGACTTCAATGGTTATCATGCCAGCGTTAGCATTATCTCAATGCACCACAGTGCACAAGATTTAAAAAGCCCCACAGAGCCACTGGCACTGCTGTAGAATGTAAGTCTTGAATATGCAATTTCCCTGACAAATTATCTCAATATTTTCCCTAAAATGACTTGCCACTGTTTGTTAAACCAGCAGCGGCGTGCTCATTTATTCAATCCATCAGAAACCAAAGCAGCAATGGCAACCAGCTGTTTTGAATATAGAGCTGTTGGACTCTAACTTTGACATCTCAATTTGCTGCCCTAGCTGTCACAGAGGAACTGCTATGAGGGAAAACATAAGTCCGTGGCTTTATGCCTATAGGGCTTTCAGCCTGTGTGACACATCATGGAGTAATTCACTACTTTGGTGGCAATTTACAGGCAGACTCAACAAGAAACCCGCTCGGGGGCCTCGAGCAACAAGCTCTCTCTCGGGAAGCAGTGGCCAGCTATAGGATCGCCTAGGCTGGGCCAAACCACCGCATGAAAAATTAACCTGCCCACTCCGCAGACAGAGCTTACACATCCTCCCTGCCTGAGAGCCTGCTTACACACTCCCTTCATCTCTTGCCCTCTTATTCTCCCCCACTGTCTTTCTCTCAGCCTTTCTTCCACTCGTTTCTCTTCCAGCGTTCTATCTGCACAGAGCCAGCTCTCTGTGCATCAAAGACAACAGCTG